TGCCTTGGGGATTCCAAACCTACTACAGCCTCTCAGGTGTGCATTCAGGACAGGCCGGCAGTGGCCCCAGGTGTCCTTACCCAAGTGCTTAGTGACGTTTCTCAGACCATCACTTAACTTGTCAGGGAAACTAGATCACAGTGTCAGGGAAGGACAGCCTGCTTGGGACCTGTGACAGCCACCTGAGAGCTCTTCCAGGAAGCTGAACGTTTCCCTTGGGACAGCCTGTCACCTTGTCCACACCCCCACTCAGTACTGAGCCTGCTGGAGTGAAAGGGAATGGTGGCTCACTGCTGGGAGAATGGGTAGGACCCAGCATTTCTACCTGACACCCCACTGTCTCCCTCAAAACTGTCAGGCAAACCCTGCCTCTCTGCTCCCGGAGCCTGACTCGGCTGCGCTGACACATGACTGTGCTAAGATAACTGATGAAGTGAATTCCAGCAGAACTGGTTGACAGGAACATCCCTCAGGAGAAGCAGACTGGCCTCTCTGTGCTGATGGAAGCAGCTCCATGGACAAAGGAAACAGAGAGGCTATGTACGCACTTGTGACTCTTCAGGGAGCAGTGGAGGCCCAGGACTTGCTGCCGGGAGCCTCTGCTCAGAAAACCGAACTGATTACACTGACGGGGGCACTGGGAGTGTTGTGTGAAAGGAGAGTGAACGGGTGTATGGACTCAACATGAGCTTTCCTGATGTTGCAATCACATGGTTCCATCTGGAAGGTACAAGAACTGTTAACCTCTAATAAAAGGAGGGAAAAGCATGCAGCAGAAATTTGAAAGTTATTAGAGGTTGTTCAGGTGTCTTTGGAGGTGGCAATGATGCTCCACCTGGGGCATCAGGAAGAGGACGCTGAGGTGCCTGGAGGAGGCAATCTGGCTGCACAGCAGAGAAAGAGGCTGCCAAAGGGACCTGGACAGTGGCTTTGGTAGCTGTCCTGGACTTGTCACAACTTGACCCTGAATATTCACCTGCAGACCTAGAGAGAGCTAAGGGTTGGGGTTTGATGAAGAAGAAACTGACAGTGATTGGAGAAAGAATGAGAAAGGAGTTATACCACGCCCTGAACATTTAGTAGAGTCAGTCATAAAGTCACCTGAGGCCACTCACAGTGGAAGGGATTCATCAACTGGGTATATTAAGCAGTGGCTCTCAGGTCCTGGAATTCAGAAGCCATACAAACAGTAGTCTCTAGATGTGTGTTGTGTGGCAAAAATAAAAACCCAAGACATATCCCCATCCGAAGAAACCAGGGAAACAGACCCAGGACAGCGCTCACTGGAGGGCTGGCAGATACACTTTAATCACATGCCAAGGGTCCAAGGGGGGATTTATTTGCTAGTGTTTGTGCCACCTGTTCAGGGTGGATAGAAGCCTATCCTACTAGAATGGGGAAATCCTCAAGCTAGCTAAAGGCTTAATGCTGGAAATAACTCCACACTTCTGCCTACCCAGTATCATCCAGAGCGATAAGGAACCTCTCTTCATTTAAGAAATTACAGAGGTTAGTACATTTCTAGGAACCCACTGGCAACTCCAGACAGCATGGAGACCTCAGGCTTCTGAAAAGTGCAGAAGAGGACACACCCCTGAAGACAAACACAGCCGAGCTGAGCCAGGAAACTCATGTCCACCGGGATGAAGCCTTGCCTATTGCCCTGCTCAGGATAACCGTGGTTCCCTGAGGTGGGATTCCATTGGCTCCTTAGGAAACTGTGTGCAGGTGACTGTTTCAGGTGACCATTGGGATGGACAGATGCAGAAAATGTTCATAGTAGCAACCCCCACGTCCCAGCCTGCTAAAGGGCTGAAGGCCCTTGAGAGCTGTCCCGGGAGAGGCTGCCCAGGCCGGCTTTGTGCTCCACCACAGCAAGGCTGGAGGGCACCCACTGCTCTTGCCAGAAGCCCACTGCTGGGCTCTGCTGCCCCAGGGCTCTTTGCCCAGGACCCTGGGGAGTCAGGTCAGCCTCTTCGCCCCTCTCTTATGAACGGGTCCTATCAGGTCTCCTCCCAGAGCCAGTGCTCCCTGCCCAGGGCTGGGGTCACTGGGAGGCCCAATGACTCCTCGACTTCCATGCCACTGGGGTCCCCAGGGCTCTGTTCCCTGCTCTGCATTACAGTGGAGGCCCCATAGACCAGCCACACTCAGAGAATCCCTTTGCAGGGGTATAGGCAGGTGGGCCTCAAGGCCCTGGGCATGGCAAGTGGCTTCTTGGATGCCTGTTTGAAGCACGTGAATCCAGAATACATCCGGGAGCCCACTGGACTGTTGGCTTCTAGAGGGCAGACCTGTGTTGGGCATTCCTCTCTCCAGCCTAGGCCTGGGATGGGCAAGGAGCCAGGACAGGTCCTCATGCTCAGCCTGGTCCCTGTGCAGAGTCCTGGCGGGGAGGGTGCTCACTCTGCAGCCCATGGCGCCCCCTCACCACCTCCCCATGGCCAGCAGGCCTCACTACAAACTTTTTTGACCATGCCTGTGCCCAGTGCCACAGCAGCAGGGGCCAGGACTCACCATCTCCTCTGGTTTCATGTGATGATCAAGACATCCTTCAGCAGCAGCTGGGAGTGAGGTACATGGCCACCTCTGTGTCCTGGGGACATGCACAGGGGCCCTGATGTGTGAGACACACTGAAGCCCCTGGTAGCTGCCAAGTGAGCCTGAGTGAGGAGCACGTGGAGGACCATTTCTTCCAGCTTGAGGTATGACACCTGGTGTGTGGGCTAGGGATGCAGGTCCAGGGCATGGGAAAGCCACTTCCCCCACCACACCCTAACCCCTAACACAGGAGGACACACAGCTGAATGACACCAGCAAGGAGCATCTTGTGGGGTAAGCACTAGGCAAGCTATTCTGTGCACAGCAGAGCAGGCAGCAGTGGGGGTTACAGAGTCTCAGTCAGAGTCAAGAGCAATCTAAGCATGGCCGTGGGGAAGGCAGATGGCTCAGCAGTGTAGGTGTGGTGGGGAAGCTGGGGGAACGCAGGGCTCTGGTTCCAGCCTGGACCCGATGAGTGAGAGGTGGCTGCACCAGCAGAGCTGACACCTGCTTCCTGTTTTCCCCTGAAGAACCAGAAGCGCTATCATGAAGATATCTTTGGGGCTGTATGTCCCTCCAAGGTGAAAGAGGATGGGGCAGCAGGGAAGACTAGCCATTCCAAAGCTCCAACACTCCTCGGAAGTTAAAGCAGCTGCCACCGAATTTCATGATGGACCCAATTCTCCATTCTCTGAGGCCACAGGGAGATGGTGGGAAATTATATCCCCAGCCTCACATCTTATTTGTCCACCTCCCTCCCCCTTTGCTTGACTTGTTACCAAGTGGCAGCCTGGACTGAGTGCAACCACTTGTCTCCTTGGAGCCCACCCTTCCCTGGATGATGGAATACTGGGGCGTCCTTGGTATGTGGAGAGAAAACCAGCAATGCCAGGCCTGGCCAGTGGGGGAGAAGGATGAATGTTTCCCCTGATTGCACCACTGTGAGTGACCACCAGGAGAAGCTGTCTCACCGATCGGTCTGTAGCCCTGCCCTTTTCCAGGGCAAGGTTGTTTGAGCTTTTGTTTTTAAGTAAACAAAATAAAACAAAACAGAACAACAAAGCCTAGTCAGCCCCTGAGGGCCATTTAAGCCCTCTCTGTAAACTCCTTTATGGAGATATTTATATGAAATGCATTTTATTTTAACTATGTTGTATGTGTGTTAATGTGTGTGTCACAAGGAAACAACCCTGAGTTATGTAGAGCTGGGCACTGGTGGTGGCCCAGCTTGGCTGTGTGGCTTCTTTAAATGCGTACCAGGGCTGCACATGGGGTGCACATCTGGGAACGCGTGACGGGCGAGGGATCACTGGCCTCAGCCCAGCCTCACACAGGAGGCACCTCCCGAGGGGGACAGCAGGGGGCCGATGCTGCACAGGATGCCAGGTCTTTAGCACAGACACCGACACCGGCCTTCTGACAAAACCATGCATTTTGCTCTGGGGCGGCTGCTTCATGAGCTTTGGCCAATATGATTGGGCCCCTGGATGACAAAGCAGGTGAAGTCAAGGCCTTGGCAGTGCGTGAAGGACACACGTCCCCCACGGGGAAGGCTTCTCTAGGGACTGAGCCATGTGTCTTTGTCCCAGTGGGAACGAGGAAGGCACTCAGCCCGAGTAAGGGTTCTGTGAAATGTGGCTCCCAGCTGGGCTTTGGCCTGTGTTTCCTTGGCTCCCTGGCCCCCTACTCAGATGGGGTGGTGGGGGAAGAGGGAACAACCAATGTGTAGTGTCCTGGTAGTGCTTGGCAGAATGGTGACCAAGGACGTGGTCATCTGGACTATTGCCCCTGGCCCAGTAACTGCCTTTAGGGTCTCTCCAATGCAGACTCTAATTGAGGTGTATGGTGGGGTCTGAGATTCCTCATCTGAAACCAGCTCCAAGGTGTGGCATGTACTCCTGGGTCCAGGACTAGGCTTTCAGCCAGCACCCTGGTTCCTGAGGCCCTGAGTTCTTCATGGAGTAGCAGGGTGGGTTGGCATCATGTGCACAAGACCTGGGTCCCCCTGCACTGGCCCAGGGGCTGGAAGACCCTACACACTGAGCCACTTTCCCCAGTACCGCCTCCCCCCTAACACTGTGGGACCTACAGTGGAACCACCAACAAGCTCTCCTCTGGGTTAGCTCCTCCTCACCCCACCTTCCACCTCCTCCCAATGATGACCTGTCCTGCCCTGGCCCTCACTGGCTCTGGCCCAACCATTGCCCCATCTGGGAAGTGCAGGGTGCTTCCTGGCTGCAACTCTGTTACCAAGCTTCTTTTCAGACATTCCTTGCAAAGAGCCTGCGTCTGGCTACTTTCTCCCACACCCTTGTGGGGTTTGTGGAGACCCACTGAGAGCAGAAATGGGTCAGAACGCCCCCATCCACATGTGCTTGGGTTCCCTCTTTGGCCAGGACCTCACCAATTCCATAAACCCAAGTGTCTCCAAACACAATTGATGAATCACAGTCGTCCTGTGCATGTGAGCCACCAGGGATATTTCTGTCTCACTTTATTTGAAGGACAACGGAAAAGGGGGGCTTCCAGCTGAAGAGGTCCTGTCTGTTGGTGGAGACCAGCAGGTGTCAGTCAGGGTTCTTTCTTATAAGGAGCAAGGGTTGGTGATGGTACAAGGAAAGGTTAAAGGTTGGAGAAAGAGGAAACCTGAGGAGACCACCTCTCTTGTGTGTGACCAGGTGGTGGCCTCAGCCTGAGGTGGACTTGAATGGAGGCTGGGAAATGGGATCCAAGGTAGACAAGGGGTAGGCTGGGAGCTTGGGAAGCCCAAGACCCTCCCTTTGTGCCCAAGGGACAGAACATGGGTCTTCAGGCTGCACACACCACACCCTTCCTCAGATGTTAGGACTGGCCAGCTGGAGCCCCAGGTGGTGCCCAGGCTGAAGAAGGCAGTCCCAGCCAGCTGCCTTTTCCACCCCAACTCCATCCCAGGGGCACTGCAGCCAGAAGCAGGGCCATACAGGGACCTGGTGTCTGCAGATCCTCGGCAGGCTGGGAAGGACTGGGGCAGGGACAGGGACAGGACAGGGAAGGTGGAGGTGATGAGGGGATCCCGAAAGCGATGTGCTCCAGCTGACTCTCCAGGGCCAGGAATCCTGCCTATGTCTTCAGGCTGCTCAGCTGGATGTCACCTCCCACTTCCAGGATGTTGATGGCAGGCAGGTCCTGCAGGCGGTGGTTGTAGTCAAACTGGTGCTGACCGTTCACCGCCACCTTGTAGCCGGTATCCTCACACGTGATCCACACCTGGACAGACAAATGACCTTGTCATTTGTGATGCACTTGGAAAGTTGGCAAACCTAAATGCAGGCTGTGTCTCCTCCCCTCTTCCTGCCTTCCTCTAACATGCATTGAGCATGTCACATGCCCACATACAATCACACGGATTCATTCTTCACAAACATGCTCTCCTTCCCGTCCTTGTACATATTCTGTTCCCCTGGCATAGAATGCCCTTCCCCCAGGTGCCAACCACACTCCTGCCCACATGGGGACCTGCTGATCCCCCTTCAGGGTTCACCCCTGTCCTGCTGGGCTTCCCTGCCTTCTGCCCCCACCTCACCCCTCCTACTCAAGTCAGGAGCCCCTTCAGGTCCTGTGCCCACCCCCATCCTCACTCTCCCACTGCACCCTGAGTCTCCAGGGGCAGGAGCTCTGCCTTGTGCCCCCAACGTTCCTGGTACCTGCACCCAGGAGTGCCCCAGGCTGGCACCCATGCAGCAGCCCCTCCTAACTTGTCTTTTCATCCCAAACAGTCTCCACAAGGCGGTCAGAGCACATCTGAGAAAACCCCATCATCCCCCCACAACACCCAGGGCGTGCAGCACGCTTCCTGTTGGCCGGGCTCTGCGCTGAGCTTGTCACAACCCGGGGTCAGTGCATTCTCACGTCGCTGAGGTCAGTGTTGCTATTAGCCCCATTTTTCCAATGGAAAACAGAGGCTCACAGCAGCCAAGTAACTTACTCACAGTCACACAGTGTCTCTCAGTCAAAGTGGATTGCTCTCAGGTCCAAACGCACCAAGTATCTGTCAAAGTCCGGACTCCTTTCCATGCCCTCAAGGCCCCACATGGGTCGTGTTCCACCCATGGGGGAGCAGTGTCAGGGCCTGTTTAAAACACAGATGCCCAGGTTCCTCCCTGCTTGGCCCGGGCTGGGCCAGGCCTGGATTTTTCCATGTCAGGCTCTCGAGGTGATTTGATTCTGTCCTTGGGGTTGGGAACCCCTGCTGTGCGATCCTGGCCTCCAGCCTCTCTGACACCCCATTCCTGCACAGTCCACGCCTGTGACCTCACTTTTGCAGCAACAGGTGCCCACTCCCACATCTCCGGGAATGCACCCCTCAGATCCTTGTGGGCGTCTCCTTCTGTCCCTGAGGTCTCCACTGCACTGTGGCCTCCCAGAGCTGTCTCCATCTCAGGGGGTGTGGCCCCTCCCCAGGCCTCACTCTATGGCAGCAGGCTCTTTTGCTGTCAGTGAAGCATCTGTGGTGACCTGCCGTCATTCTCCCCCACCTCCACTGTAAACTTTAGGAGCAGGACCTGGACTGCTGGCTTCATGGCTGTCTCCCCCTCCACCAACACCTGGAGCACTCCCTGCACTAAGCGGCCTTGAAACAGAGCTCATGAGTCATGAATGAGTGAGTGAAGGAGTGAGTGAATGAAGAAGTGAATGACACCTCATTCTTGGGTTCGATCCTGCACTTATTGACTGAGTGACCTCAGGCGAGGACCGTGCACTTGAGTTGGTTCCTACCTGTAAACAGCGGATAACACCACCTCTTTTTGGAGGACAGTAATTCCAGGACCACAACAACAAATATCTGGTGACCACATTCTCTTCTTCTGGGCCCAGCACTCACCCCAGAGGCCTCAGCTACCACCTGCTTCCCTGGGCCCACAGACACGCCCACCCCCCGCCTCACATGTCCCTTGGAGCCCGTCAGAGCTCCAGGCTGGGGCACCTACCGAGAAGCCCTGTCCTCTGTTGAAGGGCATTGATCCGGGGAGGTGGGTCTCCTCAGTCCCCCAAGAGCCATTGATCTCGGTGTTTCGGACCACAGAATTCTGGTCAAAACGGGGGTTCAGGTGGAAGGCGATATCACTCCTGGAGCGCAGGTTGATGTGGAACCTGGGGACAGGCAGCTCACATGAGTCTCCTCTGCCCACTGAGCTCCCGGCCCTGCCCCTCCCCGGCCTGCCCAGAGCCAGGGGGAAGGCAAGAATGAGCTGGGGGTAGCTCTCTTCCCCAGGAGACCAGGTTTACCTCTGAGCACTGGGCAGGACGGTGCCTGACACGGTGATGCTCTTGCCTGGGAACAGCCCACCCGGGATGGGAGTGAAGTAAGGCTGTGAGGGGAGAGGGGCAGGTCAGCCAGCTGAGCCAGAACAGCGTCCACTTTAGGTGGAACCTCCTGCCAATTTCCTTGAATTCAGACTGTTTACTGAGCTTGACAACTCTGTCTGACAGTCATTTCTTTTTCAGAAAGAATCGTGATGCCTTTCTTTGGTTGTAAATGCCAAAGGGAAACTTTCCAGGGTGCCTCAAATTAATTCATGTGCTCAAACTGTCATGAGAAGGACTTTGGCCAGACACAGGGGACACTGGGGCTGAGGAGGGACATTCACGTAATGTGTTCCTGATGAAGGGACACTGTTGAAGGTGAAAGCTCCTTTCAGCGGCTTCTCATTCACTTGGGTGCTGGACTCCAGCTTCCCCAAGGACTGCTCCTCATTCTGGGAGCCGCCCTTCCCCTCCCCCGCTGCCCAGCACACACCAACCCTCCACCCTCCCTGAGAAATCACTCACGTAGGTGGGGCTGGGCTACATCACAGGGGGGATCTCAGGATTCTTTTGAGAAGAGCCCAGGACACTTGGTGTGGGGGTGCGCCCACACCCAGGCCCCACACACTCTGAGGGAGTGCTCCTACATGAAGCATCAGCCCCTGGGCCCTCCCTTCACCCCCTCTCATGGCGGCCTGGGTGGAACTTCCTGCCATAGTCCCAGACCCCAGCACGGCCACCTGGCCTGGGCCCTCCACAGGCAGCTCAGATACCTCCAGGGCCCTGTCTGACTTGGAGCAGCAGAGGAAGAGAAGCAGCAACTTCAGTCTGTGACCAGCAGTCACATCCCAGGGATGTGAGCATGCAGGGCCTCAGCCCCAGATGCTGGGGACACTGCACCCCCCTCTCAGTCACAGAAAGACCAGTTTTCCTGCTGGTCCCGAGGGCCCTGCCTGGAAGTCAGGAGACAGGGCCAGGCCCTACAGGCCAGGGGTAGGCAGCCTGCTTCCAGGGGCCCAGTGTCCCCAGCAGGCACCCGGCCACAGCAGGCAAGAGGGGCTTAGTCCCCGGGCAGTGAGAGGCTTTCAGCAAAAGGGGTGCTGCTGCCCAAGGGTTGGAGCACTTCTCGTGGCCAATTTCCCCATCTGTTCCCTGGTTATGCTCTCAACAACCCTGGCCATTGTTAGCGCCACCTCCACAGATGAGGACTCTGAGGCACAGAAAGGTTTGGGAACAGCTCAAAGCCACACATCTGGTCAGAAATGGACTGGGGTTTGAGTGCCGGCAGCCATGCTTCTAATTTGACCACCACATAGCTGCTTCTCAGGATGAGACACAGAACGTCCTCCCTCCAGGCTCACTCAGTGCTTCCCCGGCCGAGACGGCCAGTCCTGTGCTGCTTGTGCCCCAGCTTCCATCCTAGCCCCTCAGGAGGCTGGGCCACATGGGGCTGGTGGGGGGGCAGGTATGGGAGGGAGAGGCCCTCATGGTGGTCAGCTCTTCAGCAGAATGGCCAGGCCCCGTGACCGCACAGCACACTTTGGAGGAAGAAGAAGGTCAGTCCTGACTGCTGGGAGGGAGGGGGACACCAGAAGGGGAGACCATGTGGGGTGGACGGGTGCTCCTGGGGCTGTGGGGGTGATACCCATCCTCATTTCTGTCTGGACTGCAAGGCTCTGTTTTAACTGCTCATGCAGGATTTTCCTTTGGATTTGAACAATTTTGTCCAAGGATTTAAAAGTAAAAACTAGCCACCAGGAAAGGATATGTCATGCCCTGAAAGGTACTGTGGGATCCCCCATCAAACAGGAATGGAGCTCAAGATGATACATCTGACCCTGAAACTCCCTCAAGCACCAACCAGGCCTGGCTCAGCTATCTCCAGCCCAACTACCAGCCCTTCCTCCAGGAGCAGTCACAGGGGGCAGTGACTGCGGGGGAGGGGAGGGGAAGCAGGCCATGCCAGAGGCCCTGCTGAGGTGGCTGCAGTGTGAAGCCCAGGCAGCAACCACCCTCTGTCAGCCTCTGCCCCCAGCACTCTGCTGCTGCCCACCCACCTATCCAATGCCCCCACCCAGAAGGGCTCTGTCAGTCCAGCTCCCCCACCCCTCAGGAAACTGTTGGCCAAGGCTGGGAGAGGTTTCTATGGACACTAAGGGGCCGAGACCAGGACAGGGTGACCTCACAGGCCTCCTGGGCCTGGGGCTTCCTCTTGCCTGCCTCCCTCCATTACTGCTGTCCCTGTGGGCATCTGCCTTTTCTGGGGATAAATCAAGACATGTCCCTTCCCTGCCACTTGCCATCTGGACACAGTTGGCAAGTGGCCTCAATGTCCCTGAGCCTCAGTTTTCCCATGAATGCCGTGGGGGTCATAAAGCTCAGAGGGTCTGAACAAAGCCACCTGCACACAGGGCCCACACATCTGCCACAGAGGTGCAAACCAGCCCTGTGTGTCCCACACTGCAGGGAAGGCCCCACACCTCCCTCACTCCCCAGAGGGCCCCCTGCAGCCTCCCCTGAGCTGCCCCTGCTTGTGCACTCACCCCGCAGGGAGCAGACCCTTCAGGGGTCTTCCCTGCTGCCCCCACACCTCTCCTCAGACTAAACCCGTGAGATCACCCACAGTGTGAGGGGCTCTGTTCTAGCACCCTAGAGTGCACCTCACTGACCCCGCAGACTGATTCTGGACATGGTTCAAGGATTCTCCCTATTTCACAGATGTGGAAACTGAGGCCCAGAGACATAAAAGTGGCTTGGTTGTGGTCACCTATTTCCCAGCCAGTAGATGGCTGACCCCAGGAAGGCTGCCTCCAGAGGAAGGGGGCCGTGCTGGGCTCTCATCCTCCCAGATGCCCTGTGTACTTCCCCTTTCATTCCCACAAACCATCAGTCTCCTGGTGATGACCTCTGCCCTCCTTCCCCTCAGCAGGAGGACAGGACAGGCACCCACTGGGGAGCTCAGTCAGCATTTGTCCAATGCTCGGATCAGCACTCCCCCCACCTGGCCCTTCTGCCCTTCTGTGTTCTCCTTGGGAAGCCCCCTCCTCCCCTGCCACCCAAGTGCGATGTCCTCAGAAACCACGAGCTGCTTCCCTGGAGAGGCAGAAGCTTGGCCTGGCAGCACGGCCCGTGCCCACAGCCTGGAAACTCACTGAGGTCAGGGAGAGAGGCTGGACACTGCTGAAGCTCATCTCTCCACCCCCTCTGTGTTCACGGCTACTCCTCACACCAGCCAGGCAGTGCTCTGCACTGGGGAGGGAGGGTCAACAGATATTTAAATATAGAAGCAATTTGGCATTAACTCAGTGGGGAGGAGCCAGGAGTAAGAGGAAATGGGTCTAGAGAAAGAGAAGGGAAGGGTTCTGGGGAAGCAGGGGTGTGTGAAGAAATCAGGAACAGGAGAGTAAGTACTCCCACCCCAGAACCTTCAAATTCTACTCCTCACATAAACACATCATCAGGTAAACAAGTGTTTACCAATAGAAACCCTCACACGGAGGCTATGACTTCCCTGGTGTAGTGCTGCCCTGGGGGCTTCTAGTTCCCGCGTGGGGAGCTCACCTCTCTTCTCTCCTCCCTCTCCTCTCCTCTCTCCCTGGTTTTAAATGGCCTCACATTTATTAATGAACCTACCTACTATTGCCAAAAAAAAAATCACCACAGAGAAAAGTCACTTTTTCAATAATTTCCCAATTAAAAAAACCCCAGCTATCTGAATAGTAGTGACCTTTTAGTGATTTTGAGAAGCAGACAAGCTGGGTGGAACATAAATACGGAGCCGTGTCTGAGGTGCCAGTCCTCACACACACAGTTTGGTTCCTCCCCAGTGTCTCCTCTGGGACCTGTACCTGGTTTTATAGCAGTGGAGCCCGCTGGGGAATGGGCCAATTCAGCTGTTGTTTCTTCACCAGGAACCTCTTGATCACTGTGTTCACGAACAGAATCTGGCCGTTTGGGAAGGCATCTGCCCCCCACCTCTGTGGTCCTGGCTGCCTCTCACACCAGCCAGGCAGTCCTCTGTATTCTGGAGGCCTTAAAAAAATAGAAATCAAAGGAATTTGACAGTCATTTAGTGGGGAGGAGCTAGGAGCCAGAGGAGATGGGTCTAGACAAAGAGAAGGAAAGGGTTCTGGGGGAGGAGGGGCAAGCTTGGAACTCAGGGACAAGAGAGTAAAGACTTTCACCCTAGTGCCCTTTCCTTCCTCTCCTCCTGTGTTCCACCCGGAGACTGACTCAGGTGGGGTTCACTGATTCAAAGAGCCTGGTGGCCCTGAATGACAGTGAGTTTCTAGATGATGCTGGCCATTAGTGAGTGTCTGTGTCTCCTGAGCACTACTCAGTCAGTGTCCTGAAACAATGGGGCTGCTTGATAGGGTCACTCTGGTAGATGTGGTAATGGGGTGGGGGGGTGGATGGCCTGGTTATACCCATTTTGCACCTAGAGAAACTGAGGCTCTGAGAAGCTAAGGGACATGCTCAAGGTCACACAGTTCACTGGTGGCAGCTCTGAGGCAGGATAGTAAGAAGCTCAAAAATTCTTGGGTAAGTGGAATGGGCAAACAGAGACAAGAAAATGAAACAAAGCCAAAAAGTTGAGTGCTAGACTTTATCGGGAAGTGCATAACCTCCCTGGCCATTAACCTGGGTGGAGAGGAAGGGGAATTCTAATGCAAACAGAGAGACAGATGACACTGGAATGGAGGAACCAGCCTGGGGAGAAGCTGCAGACTTGCCTTTCAGCTCCCACTCCCAAGAGACACAGCAGGTCTGTGCTCCCCCTAGGAACCTCCCCCTCTCAAACTCATAAGTTTCGCCTATGTAAACTTGCTTCTGAAGGCTCAAGGTAAGGTGGGTGTTAGGGTTTTCACCCCAGCCTTCTCAGACTGCTGGCCTCTGATATTAATAAAGTGCACTTATAACCCTTCCCTGCCCCCTGACTTTTGGTTGAGCAGTGACTGGCAGCATGAGCCTGGGACTCAGTTGCCCTCCGGTTTCAATTCCTGCAACTTTGGTGGGACAGACTGCGGGACTCTCTGGCAAGTTGGAGTATTTGGCGGGGAGTCGCATTGGCCACCTGGCCCGGGGGGCCCTGCTGTGCAGATTTGGAGACTCCCTGGCAGCTGTTGGGCGATTTCACTTGAGGATGCTCCTTTTCTGACTCTGAGACCCCATCACCCCACTTTTCAGTAAGAAACTGGATTTGTGCTCACAAAGTTCATCAGGTTTACGGCCTTTGGCCTTCTGGTGGTCTAGGGACCAAATCCGGGCTTTTCTGTAACAAATATCCGGTAAGCTGGTTTTTCTGGGGGTTGACAAACTCCAAGCTTCCAAACTGAGTAAGTCCCTGGTGTGCACAGCCAGGACACCCCTGACCCCGCCACTCTGGGTCGTAGGCATGGCTCAGTGACAAGGAGAATCCCAGTTCCCCAGGGTGGAATTTGGTTGGAGCACTCTTCTGGCTTTGGTATATGGATTTTATGTAATTTTTCTTTTCCTGTTATGTGTTAGTCTTGTTTCTCTGTTCCTCCATGGGAGAAAGCCAGTTTCTGTTGAGAGTTCTCCTGTGTTTCTCTTGTCTGTCTGAAATGAAAGGCGGTGTGAGGTGAGTTTCTAGGGCTAGTCCCTGTCCCCCCTTTTAGAGGAGGACGCATTTGTTTGGACTTTGTATTTCATTTTTGCTTCTGTTTGGAAAAGGAGAGGCGTGGTCTCAATCACATCAAGAGTCCATGAGGTCGAATTTTAGCTGACTAGTCAACTTACAGCTATAAGCCAATGATTAGTTAGAACTGTTTTGCCAAAGGTCTGGTAAACAGAAGATTGCTTATGTGCAAGTTTTCATATTGTTACATCATAAGGATTCTACTCAGAAAGGATTTAAATTGATGGTTTAAAAAATGACAAGATCTCACTTCCCTCCCAGACTGTACAACTTAGAAAGAAAAATAATGAAGAGATAAGTTTTTAAACATTCTAATTCCTCCTGGTGGCCAGGGAGCCAGAAGTCCTGGGAACAACAGGGCAATTAACGCCATTGCTCAGACTCTGCTGGCTGCCAGGGGCAGGAGGGGTGTCTGCCTCCTCACAGTGGGGGAGACATGGGCCTGATCATTCCCCTGCCTCTCCCCCAGCCTCCTTAAAGCTGTCAAGGACAAAGATAAGAACTGTATCAAATGTCTTTTTTCATTATGTGGTCTGGAAAATTATTTGATATTAAACCTGGTTTAATTTTAATATCATTTAAAGTTATTAACATAAAGTATATGTTTGTTTTTCCTGGGTTTGCAGGAATAAGTTTATTTAATATGTCACTAAAATTGCTTGGGTAATAATTGACTTTAAAAATCTCATAAAGTTGTTAAAAACTAATAAGTAGATGTAACTAAAAGGAAGAATTTTGATAACTTTTCAGTAATAATTATATATCTATATGTGTCTAAATATATTGTTCCAGAGTCTTTGATGACTTGGAACTTTGAGTTTTGTTAGGCTAAATGGTGAAAATAATTAAATATCTATATATTTTGAAATAACAGGATACTGAAATATTAATTGATCTGGGTTTGTCTACTTTGGCTTTTACCTGTAGAGAAGCTAGAAAACGAATTCAGTTATGTTAATGAATATAGCTCGTACTTTATTTGAAGTATGTCTTGAAAATGTGTGTGTGTTTGCCAATGAAACTTTGCAGTAGAGGTTATGCAATATGTTCATAAAAGTATCAATCTGAAGAATGTTAAATACTTACTTTAAGTTGTCACTAAAAATCAAGGCCTCTAAGAATTAAGAATTCTAGTTAAGTTGGAAACTCTGTGGTTTGGAAATGGAGGTACAAGCTACAAAACTACTTGCTGCAGAGAGAGGGTTGGTGTGAGTTGAAGAGCATCTGTGCAAAGTGAAGAAGGTCTGTGAAGGGGCCTTGAGAGGTAATTACACAGGGAGCTGAAAAATGAATTTTATTAGATAAGTGAATCTAAGTATCAAAAGTAAGCTAACTCAGAATTTGGTTCTTTTTTAGCGTGGTAAAAGAGAAAAAGGGTTTTCTTATGTGTGCCTAGAAAGCAGAGATTCTATATATTTTTAAAAATAATGTGTTATATCATATTAATCATGTACCTGATTACCCAAAAACCCATATTCTTTTTTTTAAAGATTTTATTTATTTAGTTTTAGAGAGAAGAAGGGAGGGAGAAAGGGAGAGAGAGAAACATGATGTGGGATAGATACATCGGTAGGTTGCCTCTCACATGCCCCCCATGTGAGCATGCAAGAGGCACATGAGGGACCTGGTCTGCATCCCAGGCATGTGCCCTGATTGGGAACCAAATGGGTGCCCTTTCAATTTGACTACAGCAACCAGGGCAAAAAAAATATTCTTTATTGTAAGAATTAAAGTTTTACTAGCCCGTAGTCATGTTTGATTACTTGATTGCCACTTTGGGTAAATAAATAATTTAATATTGTTTCATAATGATACACAATCTTGTTTTAAGCTTTCCAAATGATCCTTTAATTGGGAACTACTTTAAGATATACAAACACATTCCATTGCTACTAGAAATAGGAAACCAAACCTCAAAGCAGTTTTATGACTTTATTTGACAATCAGCAGTTAGTTCTCATCCACACTAACTTCGTAGATTTTTGAAAGTGGTGACAGGTACATAGGTGGCCCATGTATAGAGCTTGTTGGCGAGTCTTCATCTTCATTGTGTTTTCTGGACAACCACACCCAGCTGTGGTATGGGACATCCTTCTTCCTTTGGCCCAGATAGCTTTGTTGAGCCTGGTGTCCACGTGCACATTTGGAGTCCCATCTCCTTCATGACAAATTTCCGGATCTCCCTGAGTGCCTGAGGGGCATGCTTTCTGAAGCCCACGCCATGGGTGCACTTGTGGATGTCGATGGTCTGCTCTCTGGTCACTGCCCTGCTGATGGCAGATCAGCCCTTCTTCTCACCACCCTCCTTTGTGGGAGCTATCTAAACTCGGGTGACGAGGGGGCTGAGGCCGGGCCCAGGTCGAAAAGAAAGAGTGTGAGGTATTGTGATATACAATCTTTTGGTCAAGTATATTTGACAGTCTCCCCAGGGTTCAAATTTTAAGAGACTTTTCTTGACCGAAAATTGTCATTGTGTCATCCCAATGGGTCCCTGGAATGTTTCAGGTGTTTGTTCTTTCTCCTTAATAAGAAAAATTTTGAACTCATTAAGCCTATTTGATATGCTTAAAGCACATGGGAAGCTCTG